GGATGGATCACATGAGGGATTAGAGCGACGGTCACACCCTTCCCCTCCGCCTCCTTGCGCCGTGTCCCCCCCTGACCCGCGGGGCTGGGGGCGCTGTCCCCAGGGTGGGAGGGCAGGGGGTGCGTCCAGCTGTGCCCAGCTGTGGCACCGCGGGCATGGAGAGCTGGAGGTGCCCGTGCTGAGCGGGGCAGCAGCCTCGGGGCAGGCACAAGGGAGGCAGACAAAGCCACCCCAGGCGCTGACCTCAGAAGCTGCCATGTGACTCTGCCTCAAAGTTACTAAAGCATGACATCAGCCTGGGAGGGAGCGGCAGGGCTGCCACCAAAATAAAATACTGCCTGCCTTCAACCGGCTGCTGCTGCTGCTGCTGCTGCTGCTGGAGCCCCCTCCTGCGCTTCCCTGCATCCCCCCAGGGGTGATTGCCATTCCAGGTAGATCCTGCTGGAAAGCAAATGAAAAAGATCGCTTTGACACACACAAACTAAAGGCAGTTTAGTCTTTGGGTCATTCCCAGGGGTGAGAATGAAGTGTGTCAGTGAAACAGTGTCACAGACATCTTTTATGGAAAATCCTTTCCTTAGGATTTTTCCTCCTGAGAAGCTGAGAGGCCTCAGGAACAAAATGTAACCAATGGTTATCTGCTGCTGTGGAATGCAACAGGTGCATCTGGGATTGGTCTCATGTTGGTTGTTTGTAATTAATGGCCAATCACAGCCCAGCTGGCTCGGACAGAGAGTCCGAAACAGAGCCTTTGTTATCATTCCTTCTGATTCTATTCTTAGCCAGCCTTCTGATGAAACCTTTTCTTCTATTCTTTTAGTATAGTTTTAATGTAATACATATCATAAAATAATAAATAAAGCCTTCTGAAACGTGGTGTCAAATCCTGGTCTCTTCCCTCATCCAAGAACCCCTGTGACCACTGTCACAAAACAGCCCACTTTAGATAATGATATTAATGTAGTGTGCATGCACCTTTGCTTGGGCAAACGTCCTGGGCCGTGATTCTGAGATGAGATGTTGTTGTGGAAAAGGGAAAACCATCACCCCATGTCTGCAGAGGGCACAGAGAGCGGGCAGATATCGAGCAAGGGCTTTGGTGCCCCAGCAATGCCGTGCTGATGGATGTGCCTGACACCAGGCAGGTTTTGAGGCAGGGCTTTGGTGCCCCAGGGATGCTGTGCTGATGGATGTGCCTGACACCAGGCATGGTGCTGCTGGGTACCAGCCCTGCTGCTCAGCACTGTGCACCTCTGCTCCTCCTGCTCTGTGTGAGCTCTGAGAGGGATGAGGGCTCGCTCAGTGCCCGTCCCTGTCCCCATCCTGCTGATCCCTGAGCCGGGAGGGGCTCCTGGGCCGCCTGTTCCCAGGCAGGGTAGAGGCCAAAAGGCAGGGATTGGGGAGCAGAGGTGCCTCATGCCATCAGGGTGAGCTGGTGAGCAGCAGAACAGGTCAGATCGGATCCAGGCATCTTCACCCCGCAGAGCTCCCACGCTCTGCCTCCTCCTCCTCCTGCCCTGGGCTTTTCCCAGCTGCTGGGGTGACTTTGCACTGCTGCTTTTTGTCCCTGAGCTGGGATATGCCCAGCTGAGGTGTATAAATCTGACCTGCTGACCCTCTGCTGAAGATGCAAGTGCCCAGATGTGGCAAACAGCAGCCCCAGAGCTGCTGATGGCTCCTCCAGGGCCACAGCCAGCCCTGTGTCACCAAGGGGACACTGCTGGTGGGCAGATGTGGGCGAAGAGCCGTGACTGCAGTCCCAGGCATGCCAGCCCAGACCTGCCCTGGCTGGTTGGGCTGACCCCAGGGCTCAGGACAGGGTGTTGCTGGCCCCAGGTGCGGGGAGCAGGTTTGGCAGGTCGGGAGAGCCTCGGTTCCCACCGGAGCTCGCGTCCCTCTGTCCTCCCACGCCGGGCGTGGAGGGGACAGCCCCGCTCCCTGTGACCAGGACAGGCTCTCCCTGCTCTGGGCTGAGCTGGGACTTTCAGCCTCTGGGACTTTTTGTCTGGGCCTGGCTGTTTTGGCCCTGTGGCTGAGCATGCCCCAGTCTGGTCGTTCAGATGGTAGAGGAGGGCTGGGCATTTTGAGATGTCAACACTCAGGCTGACATTGCTGTTGTGTCCATTTGAGGTTTTCCATCTGTGTTTGACCAGGAGGAAAGCATACATCTGTCCTGATCGTGGGTTTGTTGCTTTATTTTCTTTTTTTTTTTTTTTTTTTTTTTGAGAAGGTTCTTGCTATGTCAACTCTGCCTCATCTTCACCTTTTTTTTTGTTATTACCTCTGTAACCAGCCACCCTTTTGTCCTTCCAGAAAGCCAGGACAGGCTGTCAGGTCCTGCCAGCAAAACATCATGACAGCCTGTGGCTTTCCTTTGGGGGAGCGTGTGGGTTCATCCCCTGGGAAAAAAGGGATGGAAGCAAGTTTCATGTGTCAGCTGGGAGTGGAAACTGATACTCTGGGGCAGCAAGGTGAACTTCCTTAATTTTAGGCCCTTTCACTTCTTTTCTGCTTGCAGATGGTGGTTAGTCCTTGGTGGAAGGAGGAGGGTCTGTACTCTAAGCTCTGAAACTTTCTCAGAGGCTTCCCTGGTGCCTGGAGCTGTGTCTGGGGGTGACAGTGTCATCCCCTGTGTCCCCTGCTGATCCTGCCACCAGCTTTCACAGCTACACCCCAGTGATGCTCCAGTTCCCAGCCAAGGTGCTCCAGTTTGCCATGGTCCCCAGTTTGCTTGGAGATGCCCTGTTTGTCCTCCCCGCAGCCCTTCCCAACCCTGTCGTGCATCTTCTCTCTGCCCTGGGCTTGCTGGGAGCTTCACTGCCAGACCCCTGGAGCAGAATTCCACCTGGCAGCTGGGCAAGCACGGCTTTCATCTCCACATCAGGACAGACTTTCCCTGAAATCCTCACTTCGCCCTCCAGCCATCACCACCAGCAGCTCCTTCTCCAGCACAAGATCCCAGACAAGGGGCTGAAATTGCGGGAAACATTCCCAACCTGACCAAACGGAGGCTATGCTGGGTTTGATGCGTTTTGTTCGGTTTGTCGTTCGGTTTTTTTTTTCTCCTTGAGGAACGTTTCCATCGCTTTCCAAGGCCACAATTCCCCCCGTTCCTTCCTGGGGTGCAGCGAGCCGGGGGTGCCGCGGTGGGCCCCACCCCGCGCGGCGCGCCGCCGTTGCCGCTTTAAGAGCGCTCTCCGCGGGGCGAGCTTTCGAACGCGCTGCCCTGCGCCGCCATTGGCCGGCGCGCGCGCGCGGGGGCCAGCCGGCGGTTGGAGCGGCCGGCGGCGCGCCCTGATTGGCCGAGCCGGGGGCGGTATAAAAAGCGGGCGAGCGCGTGGGCTCGCTCAGTCTGCGGCGCGAAGGGGCGGCGTGCGGAGCTGGGGTGAGGCGTGGGTCCCCGCTCGGCCGGGCGTTCTAATTTTTTTATTTTATTTTATTTTTTTTTTGACTTCTCTACTGCCCCCCTTCGCCCACCTGCTTTCCCTATGGAGTTCAAGCTGGAGGCGCATCGCATCGTCAGCATCTCGCTGGGCAAGATCTACAGCGCGCGGGGCCAGCGCGGCGGCCTGAAGCTGCACAAGAACCTCCTGGTGTCGCTGGTGCTGCGCAGCGCCCGCCAGGTCTACCTGAGCGAGCCGGGCTGCCCGCCCGAGCCGCCCCCCGCCGCCGCTGCCGGCCACCCCGAGGAGGAGCCGCCGCCCCGCACCGCCGCCTGGGCGGCCGAGGAGCCGCCGCCACCGCCGCCGCCCCCGCAGGACGAGGCGGGGAGGGACTGCCAGGGCCCCCGGCCGCGGCGCTGTTGCTGCGGCGAGAACCGCGGGGGCTGCGCCGGGGCCCCCCCGCCGCCGCACTGCCCCCGCAAGCGGAGCGCCGGCGAGCGCGGCCAGGCGGGCTCCCCGGTGAAGAAGCCCCGCCGCGAGGAAGAGGAGCCGCCGCCGCTGCCGCCGCCACCGCCGCCCTCACCGCCGGGCGAGCAGGAGGACATGGAGACGGGCAACGTGGCCAGCCTCATCAGCATCTTCGGCTCCAGCTTCTCGGGACTGCTCAGCAAGGAGCCCAAGGGCCGGCGGCGACCGCCTCTGGACGGCGGCGAGGCGGCGGCGGGCACGGCGCCCGCCGAGGCGGCGGCCGAGCCGGGACAGATCTGCTGCGACGAGCCGGTGCTGCGGACCCTCAACCCCTGGAGCACGGCCATCGTGGCCTTCTGATGGCCCGGCCGCAGAGACTGGCTCCCCGCCGCGGGCCGGGGGGCCCGGAGGTGACACCCACCGAGCGCCGCGGGGCTCCGGCGCCGGCCAGACCCGGCGCCCTTGGCCGCCGCACCGGAGGGACCGCGGGGCAGCAGCGGCGGCGGCGCTTCCCCGTTCCCCGCCGGGTCCCGGCTGCCGGCACCCGCCCTGGGAGCGCCCCCGGCCCTGCCCTCCCGGAATTCCCCTTCCCGGCAGAGCCGCCGCCCTCTCCGGCGCCCGGGGGAGGCTCCTCGGCCGCCGCCGACCCCGGGGGCGCCCCCGGCGGGTGATATTTTGAGCTTGGAAAGTATTAAGTTTATTAAATAAAGTGTCTATTTTGGAAAGGTTTAGGTCAGAACTATTACATGGTGCTTTTTAAAAGTGTTTTATTGAGAGGAACGAAGTTTACAGACGCTCTGACGGAAAGTCCTTGAGCCTGTTTGTTAGGCTTGGTAACTCCCGGTCTTTGTTGTATAAAGGCTTGGGGCTCCCGTAGGGAATTTTTGTACAGTGTTCTCCTTCAGTGATGTATCATGTTTTGTATAAAATGTAATTTCTACGTGTACAACACGTATTAAATATTTTCAACTGTATGAGCCTAGTTCCTGTTTGTGCCCCAGTGGCTCGAGGGGGAGGAGGGCAGGCAGCAGCCGGGGTGTGGTTCTGCATGTCTGTGGCTGGATCCACCCAGCCTCGCCAGAGGCTTGGGGTGGGTTGGAGTCCGGCTCTTGTGGGAGCTGGGGAAGAAAGGGAACCTATGTCAGGGTGCCTGGAGTCCTTCCCGGGATCTTCCAGGTTCTCCCACCGCTCTTCTGGCTACAGCCTCTTCCCGGGGCCGGAGCTGCCGTGGCATTTGAGGTCTTGCTCTGAAAGTACCTAATGTGCAGAGTCACTGTCTGTGGGTGGAAAGCGGTTGCTAAATCCCAGAGGAGCAGCTGGGTGCAGGCTGAGCAGCCTGTGGCACAGCTGGGCCGAGCACTGGCCCCCAGCGTTGCCTGCTCGCAGATCCGGACTGGGGATGTCTGAGTGGATTTCACCCAGTAGAACACAGCTACTGCTCTGCAAGAAGTGTTTCTGTGCCTCTTCTTTGCTGTTACTTGTAGAATAGTTCAAACGATAAATATCAGGAGGTAGCTTTTTTTTTTCCCCCACTTCTCTTTCATTATCAGTAAAACTATAACTGGGTTAAAGTTCCTGCTGTTAGGGGTGGGGAGAAAAGTTTGGCCTCGGCTTCACAGTGAGTGGAGCGCCCCAAGGCGTTGTAATTAGACTGAATTGTGGGGGATTTTTTTTTTTTTCCTTGCTTCTTGCTGGAAGATTCACTAGAGGCTTCTCTGCTCCTAATTAATGAACTTTTCAACTGGGAATTGCGTCTCTGGCAAGTGGAAGATGTTTGTGTGCTGTGAAATGCAGCCTGGGATATCTGGCTGAACCTTGGGAGCCTGTTTTGGGAAGGGACATGAGAAATGACCAGCAGTGGGGTTTTTAACACCTTGGACCTGTGAGAAACAGGAGGTGTTGGGCTGGGTCATCCCAAAGCAGGGGGATGGGAGAGATGAGGAGAAATTGCCTGGTTTGGGGAGGCTTTGAGGCAGCTCTGCTCCTTGGTGTACAGTTTAATAGCTCCTTATTCTTAGGTAAAAGCAAAAGTCCTACCATCTTAATTTTCTAGGTAATTGCACCTAATGGTGACATAATTTCAGTCTGGTGGATGACATAAGGAAATGGGGTGTGATGAGACGTTTTACTCACTCACCTTTGGGAAGTGATGGGAAGGTGCTGTCCCTGCTTCCCTCCTACAGGTGCTCTCCAGGAGAACCCCACACTCTCACTCCTGTCTCAAGGGAGGCGAGGAGCATCTCTCCAGTGAGAGGAGAGGGGGGATGGCTGCACAGTGCTATCCCCCCCAGCTCTCCTGCTCTTAGGGTCAGAAGCTGGGCTGCAGGATGGAAACAGCCTCTTGCTCCAGCACAGTTTCCTTCCCAAGGTTTCAGTCCTGCTCCTTGTCCACCAGCAGCATCTCCATGGAAGCGAATGATTTTGCCCAGCTTCCAAATCCCAAAAATGGGACGTGGGCACTCCTGACCTTGACATTTTCAAATTGTCTAGGAAGATCACCTGGTCCTGCTGGTTTGTGTGGCCCTGCTGTCCCTACACAGACAAGGCCCAACCTCCTTCTGGCACAGAGCACCCAGCAGAGCTCATATCTACTCTGTCTTCCAGAGGAGAGTTGTGCAACACCTTAATTGCTGCTGGCCTCTGCCAGCAGGGCAGGGACTGCCCACAGGTGCCCACGCAGCTCCCGTGGAGCTGCCTGAGGTGAGCGAGCTCTCCCTTCCCAGCTCATGGCCCCAGAGCTGTGTCCCCAAAGGACCCGGCCCAGCTCCATCTGCTGTGCTGACACACGCCTGGTTTGATCCCCTGGCTGGCTTTTTACTGTGTGGGGTTTGCCTCTGGCTGCTGTGGCTGAGTGGGACAGAAAAAATAATAAAAAACACCAGAGATGTGATAGATGCTGGTGAGCTCTGCTGAGGGGTCTGGACCAAACCAACCTCAAATTGAAAAGACCCCTAATAATGACACTGTATTGCTTTTAGAATCAATTTTTCTGCTCTGTTTTGTTTTATTTTTTACTCACCCAGTGCCATTCCCCCCCCCCCCCCAATTCCTATATTCCTATAATCACTTTTACCTTAATTGGTTCTGTTTTGTTTAAATTCATCTCTTCTGTTGTGTTGCTTCTACCCCTGTACTTTTCCTTCTGCCCACAGAGCTACAGAGATGAGGCTGACAGAGGGGACAGCTGAGGGAATGAGCTCAAGCTGAGGCTGATGACCCAAACTCACTGCCCAGGCCAGTGATGAAGGAGGGAAGAGAAGTGCATAAATAAGCCAGATAAAAATAAAAACTTCCATCACTTGGGACAGAGGTTGACTCCTATGGAAACTGCCTCACCGGGTCGAGGAGGAGATGACTTAATGGGAAGATGGCAGGATCCTACCCTTCCTAGAATAGTAACGAGCTGCTGGAAGCGCTGGCCCCGGCTGCTGCCCTTCCCCCAGCTCGGGTCAGTTCCCGTGGGAGAGGAGAAGTGCTGGGAAAATCCTCCAGCACCGCCGGAGGGTGGGATGGATGCTGGCAGAGGGATGTGGCAGCTGGGCTGCCTGGGTGATGCTCGGGAAGGAGGGCAGGCAGCAGCCGCCTTTCACTTTTCTCCTGCTCTAATCATCCAGGAGCGATCCGGGGCTGCGCCTCTCCTCAGGGATCCCTTCTGGGGAGAGGGAACGACTTCAAACCGGCTCTCGGCAGGAAGGGAGTGTCAAAGGTGTGAATCATCCCGGCCTTGAAAGGTGTCTGGCCGGGCCAGGTGCCGGCAGGGGCTGGGGAAACCCTCGGGGTTTGGGGGAGACCCTCGGTGTTTGGGGAACTCTCGGGGTTTGGGGAACCCTCGGGGCTGGGGGAGACCCTCGGGGCTGGGGGAAACCCTCGGGGTTTGGGGGAGACCCTCAGGGCTGGGGGAAACCCTCGGGGTTTGGGGAACTCTCAGGGCTGGGGGAAACCCTCGGGGTTTGGGGAACTCTCAGGGCTGGGGGAGACCCTCGGGGTTTGGGGAGACCCTCGGGGTTTGGGGAACCCTCGGTGTTTGGGGAACCCTCGGGGCTGGGAGCCGATGGGCAGCCAGGGGTTTGCAGGAGCTCCGCGTTTCACTCCGGCTGCCCTCGCTCCTTCCTGGCCTGATGCAACCCGGCCGTCCCTCCTCTCCTGGGCCATGGGGAGAGGAGGAAGGCTCTGCACACTCACTGCTGGAGCATCCTGTGTCAGCGCTCAGGAATCCGGCAGGCTGCAGGGAGGGGGGCGGGAGGCAGGGCAGCGGCGGGGCTGTGCCTGCTGGGGCCTCTCCCTGCCTGGGGAAACGCGGGGAGCCCCAGGGTACCGGGGCACCTCCTGGCGGTACCAGAGCATCCCTGGGGGCTGCACCTCCTGGGGTCTCTCCCTACCCGGGGGTACCAGAGCATCCCTGGGGGCTGCACCTCCTGAGGTCTCTCCCTGCCTGGGGGGTACCAGAATATCCCTGGGGTCTCTCCCTACCCGAGGCTACCTGAGCATCCCTGTGGGCTGCACCTCTTGGGGTCTCTCCCTGCCTGGGGGTACCAGAGCATCCCTGGGGGTACTGGAGCATCCCTGGGGGCTGCACCTCCTGGAGTCTCTCCCTGCCTGGGCAGCCCAGGGACACCAGAGCAGCTCTGGCAGGAAGCTTTGCCAAAGGCTGAAGGCCAGGACAGGGTATTTTGGGGGGAAGAAGGGGTGGGGATGTGCTGTGGCACAGTGCTTGGCTGATAGCTCCAAAGGCTGAGGAGAGGCACGCCTGCATCTCCCGTGCTGCTGCGGGGCTTGCATCTGTCTCCAATGTACTGTGCTTGCCACTGATGCTCTGCCAATGTATATTTAGGGTGGGAGGGGGGACCCACCCTCAGTAAAACCCCCCTCCCCGGTCCCCAGCGGGCTGGGGGGCTCTTGCAGGGGAGCAGGGAGAGGCTCCGTGTTTTCCTGGGCAGGGTGGTCCAGCCCAGGGGGAGGGGGAAGGCGGTGGAGTTGCTGGCAGGGCTAAGGCTCATGGAAAACTCCAGGGCTTCTTCCAAGGAGGATCCTTTGAGAGACTGGAGCGGGGCAGGGAGAGGGCTTGGCACAGTGAGGGGATGGCTGGAGTGGGGAGAAGCTGGCTGGAAGGTGCCCAGAGCTGCCTTGGCAAGGAGGAAACCCAACAGAGGAGAGTTATTCCAGGCCAGCACGGGTTCCTGGAGGCAGGGTCAGGGCCGGGATGAGCGACAAACACAAACAACTCCCTCCTCTCGGCCTTCTGGTTGTGATTTCTGCTCCTGACATGCAAACCCTGAGGGGCCCCCTCCCCTCCCTCCTTCTCCCCAGCTGGGCGAGGGCTGGCCCGGCTGCCTAATGAAATGCAGAGCTGCTTGGGAGAGTAGAGAAAAAAAAAACCCAACCAAAAAAAAAAGGCTCTGTTCGAGGTTTTGTGCCTCTGGTTTCCTCTGGCCCTCTCTCCCAGCGGGGTGATTTATTGGTGATGGAGCCCGGCGAGAGGGGGAGGGAAGGGCTTGGAGCTGCAGGCAAATAGTCATCGTTTATTTCCCAAGCACTCACGCGAGGCAAAGGGAAAAAGGGGAGGAGAGGGAGGGAAACTGCCTGGGCAGGGCCGAGGAGCATCATTTGCTGGAGCTGAGCTCTCCCAGTTTGTCCCAGTTGCTCTGAGGTGGTACTGGAGCATCCCTGGGGCTGTGTCTCCTGGGGTCTCTCCCTGCCCAGTGGGATTGGAGCATCCCTGGGGGCTGCACCTCCACCTTGGGCACTTTGCACACCAAAGGACCGGCTTTGAGGGGGATGCCCTTTCCCTCTATCCCAATTTCCCCACTTTCTCTCCCTCCTTTTGGGCAGGGGGTGCTGAGAGCTGCCTGCAGGCAGCTGGGCTGGCTCTCCTGGCCCTGCACTCTCTTCTCCAGTTCAGCCAGGGGGGGACTCCTCATCCTTTTCCCCTCTCCTGCAGCATCAGCCAAGGAGGCCTAACCCTAACCCAGGCTGGCAGAAGAGCAGAGATACCCATTGCCACTGACCTGATTTTGGGCACCTGCATGCCCAAAAGTGACATGCTGTGTTTGCTGCCTGCAGCTACTCAGCTCAGACCAGCCTTAGAGTTAAGCCAGGCTTTAGGCTCTGCAGCAGTGAGGTGTGCCCATCCTGCAGGATGCTCTGGTGTGCTGCTCTGTGGCAGGGTGACCTCCTGCTCAGGGCTGGCCTTTTCCATGCTCGCTGCTCTGCTTGGGAGCTGTGAAAAACACCAGTCACTTGTTTTTTAAAATTTTAAAAGTTTAAGAGTAATAAAATGGTTATGAAAATAGTAATATAATTAGAGTAATTAAAATTTTGGACAATTTGGATTAGGACAATATGAGACAATAGAAACAAAGAGTTAGGGACAGTCCAGGTACCTCTTTTTGGGCAAAATAAGCCCGAAAAAGGACCCACGTTAACAGAGGATTAACCCTTAAAAGCAACAGCCTGTTGCATATTCATACACCTCATCCATGATGCATAAATTTCATTCAAACACAGGATTCTGTCTGGTCAGTGTCAGCTTCTTCCTCTCAATCCTGACAGAGTCTTCAGGGCTGATCGAGGCAGGAAGAAGTTCATTTCTTCTGATAATGGAGCAGTAAATTCTTTTTCTGTGAAAGATTCAGGTGTCCTGTGGCTGTTCTCTCACTGCGAGTCCTTTCTTTAAAAAAGTATCCTACATAGCATAGTTTCTATTTTAACCTTATGTTATAACCTAAAACTATATTTTAACACACTACTTAAGCGAATTAATACAGCATCACTTCCTAACACAACACATATAATATTCATTTGAATATTTGCTAAAAGCCAATCATAAAATACGCATTTTTCACAGGAACGAATGTGGTTTCCTGGGGGGGAAGGTCTCCTCCTCCTCCTCCTCCTCCTCCTCTGCTGACAGCATCTGACCTCAGCTGTCGTCCCTGGGATTAATCTGAGCCTCGGGACAGGTTGAGGCATGTCCAAGGCAGAGGGAGGAGAGCTCCATGCGTACAGACACAGAGGAAGGAACAAAAACAATTCCCAGGGAAATATTTTCCTGCTGCTTTTCCTGGCAGCGAGCAGGGCGGGAGGAAAAGCCCTGGCTTTAAATTGCTTGCAGGAGAATTTCCCCAACTCCAGCTGGCAATCGGCTTTTCCTTGGCCTCCTGCACCTCGTGGAGCTCAGCCCCCACCCCAGACCCACACAGGGATGGCACAAAGGGTGCTTGTCGAATTTAGAATAATTTAATCATGTCTTTTGTAAATTTTTTTAGATTTTGTAGAGTTGTATTAAGGCATTAAAAAAATATAGATAATTTAAAGGTAAATAGATAATACAAATTCATTTCCCACAGGTGCTCAGCCCCCCGATGTGCTGCTCAGCATCCCGGTCCCTGGGATTAAAATTTTTGAATTTTGTAAAGTTTTATTAAGATAATTTTTTTAAAATGGTAAATAGATAATTTAAAGGTAAATAGATAATATAAATTCATTTCCCACAGGTGTTTAGCCCCCCAAGGTGCTGCTCAGCATCCCGGTATCTGGGATAAAAATTTTTGGATTTTGCAAAGTTTTATTAAGTTTTTTTTATATATATAAATAGATAATTTAAAGGTAAATAGATAATACAAATTCATTTCCCACAGGTGCTCAGCCCCCTGAGGTGCTGCTCAGCATCCCGGTCTCTGCTGAGCCAAGCTGTAAATTTTTTGAATTTTGGAGAATTTTGTTAAGGTAATTATTTGTTTAAGGTAAATAGATAATTTAAAGGTAAAAAGATAATTGAAAGGTAAATAGATAATACAAATTCATTTCCTACAGGTGCTCAGTCCCCCAAGATGCTGCTCAGCATCCTGGGCTTTGCTGAGCTAAGGTGTAAATTTTTTGAATTTTGCAAAGTTTTACTAAGGGAATTAAAAAAAATATATAAATAGATAATTTAAAGGTAAATAGATAATAGAAATTAATTTCCCACAGGTGCTCAGCCCCCCAAGGTGCTGCTCAGCATCCCGGTATCGGGGATAAAAATTTTTGAATTTTGTAAAGTTTTATTCAGATAAATTTTTTTTAAAAAAGATAAATAGCTAATTTAAAAGGCAAATAGATAATAGAAATTAATTTCCCACAGGTGCTCAGTCCTCTGGGGTGCCACTCAGCATCCTGGGCTCTGCTAGCCAAGGATTGCCTCTGACTGCTGC